TGGCAATGTTGTGGCTTACTATTTCGCTTTTCAGTGCATGTCCTATTTACTAGCTATCGCTTTTGCTTTGCATCTTTCTTCTAGATTTCATGGTGTTCCTATTTTTCTTATGATTGTTGTGATGATACTAATATTTACTAATATTGTCTCCCTTTGCTTTACATCTTTCTTCTGGATTTTATGGTGTTCCTATTTATCCTATGATTGTTGTTGTGATAGTAATATTGTCTCATTTTTGTCATTTTGTCTTTTTTTTGAGCCGAGGGTCTTTCGAAAACAGCCTCTCTACTCCTTCAGGGTAGGGGTAAGGTCTGTGTACACACTACCCTCCCCAGACCCCATTAGTGGAATTTTATTGGGTGTTGTTGTTGTTGTTGTTATTTGTTGTTTGGTTGTTTAGTTTTTCAATTTTCTCTTTGGCAAAGCCTAGATGCCTCGCCATCTTTAAAATATAATGGATTTACATTACATCTTCTCCTATAGCTAATACGCAATAGTCACATCTGGTACTTTATTTAAATTCATTCATCTTCTCATGTAATTATGTGAATTCCTCGCTTGACAAATGTATACGATAAAAATCAGTATTAAGAGTTGGGTGAATGAGGAAGCGATATATGTATGCTTTAATTGTGATAATTAAGAGCGTATGAATTGTAACCGTTATAAAAAATTACAGACGGCTTTTATATGCTTTATTTAATTACCTTTTATTATAGCATTAATTGTGATAATTAAGAGGGCATGAATTGTAACCATACACCCCATAGCTCTAGTATAAATAAAGGCTTTAATTCTATTTGTGAGACATCAAGAAATACTTATAGCAAAAGACTAACATTCTTTTTTCTCAAGCTTTATACAAGTGTTATCGATATTTTCTAACTGTTCTTAATTCTGGTGTGAACATTCTGAAGTACAGGCTTGTCTTTTCTTCTATTATTTTTATTTTACTTGCTTTGCTCTTCATTACTTTATTTTATCCGATTAATTTAATTCACGTGTCTACAAATCACGATACAAATTCAATTGTACCATTTTTCGGTAAACAGTTTGGCGCCCACCGTGGGGCATAGAAAATTGTGGTGTTATTTTGATATGTACATCTTATACTAACGTGCTTTAAAATTTTTTTCTGTTTTAAGCATACTACAGTTATGGCACACAATGATATCAACAACTCGCTCAATGTTGCAACAAACTACAACGATGAGCCTGTGAACAATCTCCATAATGAAAATAAACACGATGGTTCAACTAGTGAAACCTGTCTCGATGGGAATGAGACAACTCCTAATAGGGTAGAAAGAAAAATTCGACACGAGAGGAGTCCTACCCCTAATGATATGGATGGTGAGCCGGTGGCTGTTACCATGAAAATGTGGAGAGCTCAACAACGAAAAATTATGGACCATCTCTCAAGATAGAACCAGATAATGACTAAGCTTTAACAAGCAATACCTGAGACTTCAAATAATTCAAATGTTGGTGTAACGACCCGGCCGATCGTTTTGAGAATTTAAGTCCTGTCTGGCGGCATAAGGCCCTAAGCAGCTTCATATTATGTGCCTTGACTTACGTGCGTGGTTGAATTCAATTATCGGATAATTCGAAGTGATTTGGGACACTTGGTCCCTAAATGAGAGCTTAAGTCTTAAAATTTGGATCGTAGTTGCAACTGTGTAAAGACGGATCCGAAATGGAATTACGTCGACTCTGTTAGCTCCGTTGAGTGATTTTGAGCTTAGGAGCACGTTCGGAATGTGTTTTGGAGGTCTGTAGTAGATTTAGGCTTGAATTGGCGAAAGTTTGATTTTCAGCGATTTTGGACGATAGTGGAAATTTTGATATCGAGCTTCGAATGGATTTCCGAAAGTGGCTGTGGGTTCGTAGTGTCATTTGTGACCTGTGTGAAAAACTTGAGGTCATTCAGACGTGATTTGATAGGTTTTGGCATCGGTTGTAGGAATTTAAAGTTTCAAGTTCTTTAAGTTTGAATTGGAAGGTGATTCGTGATTTTAGCATTAGTTGATGTGATTTGAAAGCTCGACTAAGTTCGTATGGTATTTTAGGATTAGTTGATATGTTTGGTTGAGGTCCCGAGTGGGCTCGGGTGAGTTTTGAGTGCTTAACGGATCAAAAGTTGGATTTGTGTTGCTGTTGAAGTTTTCAGGCATCTGTCATTTTTCGCACCTGCGGTGGAGAGACTGCAGGTGCGTGATCGCACATGCGGGGATGCAAGCGCAGAAGCGGAAAAATGGAAGAGTGCTAGGGGTCGCATGTGCGAAGTGAATTCCGCATATGCGATGCTCGCAGATGCGTTATGGTTACGTAGGTGCGGAGACGATCGCAGAAGTGGACAATAGTCCGTAGGCGCGCACTCGCAGGTGCTACCCAAGGTCCGCAGATGCGGAATAACTGGGCAGAAAAGGGGCAGATTCGAGGGTTTGAAGTTCACTTCACAAATTTGAATGAGAGCTCGGTAGAAGGCGTAATTTGGAGAGATTTTCGGAGGAAGTTTTTGGGTAATGATTCTTAACTCCCTTATGGTTATATTCCACTAATCTATGTTAGAATTGATCGTTTAAATTCGGATTTGGGGTGAAAAATTGAGAAAAGTTCTTAGGCCAAATTTTGTGGTTTGATCGAGATTTTGGTGTCGGATTTTAGTAAATTCGATATGGTTAGACTCGTGAGTGAATTGAGCTTTCGTATTTTATGACTTTTACCCGATTCCGAGACGTGGGCCCGTGTCACCTTTTTAGGGCGAATTTCGGAATATTTGTTAAAGTATTGATTTAATTAATTAGATGAGTCTATTATGATTGTAAATATAATATGTAATTGCTTTTGGCTAGATTTGAGCTATTCAGAGTCGGATATTCATGGAAAGGGCATTCTTACGGATTGATTGAGCTTGACTCGAGGTAAGTATTTTGCCTAACCTTGTGTGGGGGAACTACCCCTTAGAATTTGAGTCATCTATGTTGATTGTAGTCTGTGTACGCGAGGTGACGAGTGCATGCTCGGACGTATTTGTGGAAAGTTGGCCTCTTAGGGTTCTTATGTCCTTATATTCACTGTATATGATGTTATTTTTGATACGTTTGAATTCCTATTTACTAGTTTTACCTCTACATGCTTTGATTAGAGATAATTGCTTTAGGATTCACTCTTACTGTCTATTTGACCCTTATTTAACTTAACCAAAGATTTTACCTCTTCTATCATCATGCTATATTTTTCATAACTGCTTGTCTTTAATTGAAATCATTATTTTCTCACCCTATAATTGTTTAGTCTTTATTGGAGTTATGATTATCTTCCGTTGCTTTTTCTTACTTGAATTGTTGAATTTTTCTCGTAATTGCTCAACCTCAAAAGGAGTTTAGATAACATATATCTTAGTTGACTTGCCATTATTTGGAACTATTTGACTCGTGTTGGCTTCTTATTGTTGACTTGAATATTGTGGAATTGTTGCTATATTTTTGTTTTGT